TTATGCCTGGTTATACATGATTAGAGCAAATTAATTTATTTTCTTCATCCACCAAGGAACCTTTCCACCAAACTCACTTGACCCTCTGTTCTTCCATCTTCTTAAGCTCTGCATCTCTCTTCAGCACTGCCAAGATCATCTCTTGCTCTTCCTCCGTCAGATAACTCAGGTCGATCATGATGAATGGCTTCAGGGTAGGTGATGATAACAGATGAGTCTCAGATCGTCTCTGATTGGTTCACTGAAAGTGTCAAGAGCATCACTGAGGGTAACTTGAAGGCTGATGTTTGATAAGTCACTGCATCACATCATGGAGAACATCAGAGGAGCACCTGCACCAGACAGACAGAAAGAGTTTCAACAAACACAGTATGAGCTTGGCTCACAAAGAACTATGTCTTCCCTGTGAATTCTTCTAAACCATTAAGACATCACATGATCCTAATTGTTCCTAATGAATCTGTGAGCCGGGCTTTCAAGACGTCTACTTCGAGCATCATCTATGCTTCCCTAAACATCTGAAATGACATTGTTTCTCTATATCAGCTCCGGTCCATACAGTATGTGCTCAACACTGGACATGCGACATGGCATTGTCAGATGACTATCAGAGGATATGGGTACTGGCTGCTTCTCACAGCAAAGAGCACCGTCAAAGACTCTTTTATTCCTAAACCAAATTACACTTAACTCAAATTAGGTGGCAGCACACAAATGGTATCAATTTCAAAACAATTTTTCTAAATCAAACAGTTTAGAAACCCATGGAAAAAATAGGAATACGTCTAAACCATTTAAAGAACTGGAATTATGATATTTTTGGATGGAATGACCATTGGCAGAATTCCACATGTCTGGATAAGGTAATATAACAAACAGAATAAATGCTGAAAAAAAAAATCTAACTAAATATTTTCTAAAAGAGCTTTGTATAAGAGGCAAAGTCCTTCTCATTGCACAGTGCCGGTGACTTTTATGATTAAACTGTATTGAAAATCTCTTATAAATAGTTTACAAAGAGCTTAAACAAACAAGTGTCTTCTACCAAAGATACTTTTTTTTAATAAATAAAAAAATGTGAAATGTATTATTATTTTTTTCCATTTACTTATTCTATTTATTAATTCCTTTGCATATTGTAACATCTGATTTTTATGTATCATAAAAAAGAACAGCAGTTCCTACGTCTTGCATGGGCATATCTGGGTGTCTAGATAAAGCTATGATACATTCCAGCCAGAGCGGAAGTTTGTTGTTACTTTCCTATTTTGGAAATCTGTTCCCAAGTCATGTTCTTGATTGAGTCATTTCCATGAAAAACGCCTCTACATGGGTTTACTCAACACACACACAAAACATATCCGACAAGCATTTTCCTTCTTGTTCCAAGAAGAACAGTATAATTCTTTAGATTCTTTAGTAACGGTATTTTTGAATATTTACTACTTTTAAAATCTAATAAACACTGCTAAATGATTTCTCTCAGTACAAATCAGATTTCAAAATGACACAGTAAAGCATTTAAGTGTCTGCTGGTTCTGAGAAAAGCATGTCCTGACAACATAGTTGGGATGATCACCTGAGGCGGGATCTGTAAATCATAACTTTTCAAGGGATATGCCATTACCAAAATAGAGAAGAACTAGTCTCATCCAGACACAGTAAACATGAATAATACATGTTAACCATTTGCCTATTCCACATCCCTTTGAGGCATGTACCATAACAAAGAGTTGCCACCTGGTTTGGGTTCACTTATTATAGGTGTGGAGTTTTACTGTGTTACAAACCATTTTACAGGGTTTTAAGCATCTGATTTTGTTTTTCAGTGACTAAGAGAAAGTTTTAGTTTTTTTTCATCCTAGATAATGTAAATCGTGTGCCTAAAAAGCTTTGAACATGCTACCTTATCAAGTGGAACATTTGATAAGGGGGGGGGGGGGGGGGGGTAAATTCCACATGTCTGGATAAGGTAATATAACAAACAGAATAAATGCTGAAAAAAAAAATCTAACTAAATATTTTCTAAAAGAGCTTTGTATAAGAGGCAAAGTCCTTCTCATTGCACAGTGCCGGTGACTTTTATGATTAAACTGTATTGAAAATCTCTTATAAATAGTTTACAAAGAGCTTAAACAAACAAGTGTCTTCTACCAAAGATACTTTTTTTTAATAAATAAAAAATGTGAAATGTATTATTATTTTTTTCCATTTACTTATTCTATTTATTAATTCCTTTGCATATTGTAACATCTGATTTTTATGTATCATAAAAAAGAACAGCAGTTCCCACGTCTTGCATGGGCATATCTGGGTGTCTAGATAAAGCTATGATACATTCCAGCCAGAGCGGAAGTTTGTTGTTACTTTCCTATTTTGGAAATCTGTTCCCAAGTCATGTTCTTGATTGAGTCATTTCCATGAAAAACGCCTCTACATGGGTTTACTCAACACACACACAAAACATATCCGACAAGCATTTTCCTTCTTGTTCCAAGAAGAACAGTATAATTCTTTAGATTCTTTAGTAACGGTATTTTTGAATATTTACTACTTTTAAAATCTAATAAACACTGCTAAATGATTTCTCTCAGTACAAATCAGATTTCAAAATGACACAGTAAAGCATTTAAGTTAAAGGTCTTAAAGACAATGCTTCAATTATGTATTTTAAGATGGGTTTTAGTAATGTTACTGTGGAATAAAATGGCCTTTCACACAGAACCCTTGTAGAAGCACTCATTTAACTAATCACTGTCTGATCTGGATGTAAATAAACACTCCGCATTCTTTCTCTAAATAGCTTTACAAGAATTAACAGCTTAAGGAAGCAGGAAATGAGAAAAAAAATAAAAAATAAAATCGCAGTGGCTCCAGAGATAAAAACACAAAACTCCAGACATGAAAACAACAGAATGAAACGAGCGCCTGTTGAAACAGAACCCATCCCTGTCAGAGCATGCAGCAGAACTTCCAACTCACAGCAGGGACATTGTTAAGTGAAGCTAAAGCCTTAAAAAGTAAAACAGTATCTATTAAAGTAAAATAAAACAACTGACAAGCAAAAGTTTACCTGAGTCTTGCTCGCGTGGCTGCTACTAGACCGCGTTATTTTCCAACACTGTTACTGTAACATCTGAAACACCAGAGGAGTGTAATAATCCATTTGCCAGACACTTACTGATATGAAACAAATTATTTAAATCTCCAGCTTTAAAGTGAGGCGTGTGTGTGTGTGTGTCGCGTGCACACTGGTTGTATGTGAACAACTAGTAAGAGCTAAAAATGCTGTTGATTAACTCGTGGGGAGTTCCGAACGATAGCCACAAAATGCTGTCTAGGCAGGAGGTTCACTAAGTTTTGACACAAATCCCATAAAGGCGTGGTCTGTCACTCTCATAAACTTTTAATTCTGTCACACGCACGTGCCATACACATCATTATGTCATTAAATGTCCTCTCGATAGCACCACAGAAAATCTTGTGCATCCTTGCATACGCAACCTATGTATACAAATTAAACATAATCTATAACGTCACTACACTACAACCTTCATTCTGTCTCTCCACTCCCTGTGATTCAGACTATTTAATGAACGCGAGTCGTTTTATTTTGTTCTGACCTCCCTGACTTTCAGCTGTTACACCCTAATGATAATAATACATCAGAATGTACAATGTGTTTGCTATATTCAGATGTATTATTATTATTAATGTCAAATAAACAAAGCAAACTCAGTAGTAAAAAAAAAACTACTGAGTAGTAGTGTAGTTTTGCCAAATGTGCTTTTATGTATCCTCCTGAGACCCAGCTATGGAGTTTTTTCTCTGTAGTGGACATTATATTTGAGTGAATTTCTCTGAGACATGTCACAGTTTTAAGTCTGGATGTCCTGTAAAGAGCACATTTAGGGCTTTTCCAGAGATACCAAATGTTTGGCTGGTTCACCCTCTCCTTGGTCTTTAAAGATGGCTGGCATTAATTTAGTGATAAAATTGTACATCCTTATGGAAATATGATAATATTTTGTAATTATCATTTAAATCTGTTTAATTGTCACAAATCAGCATATCTAAGGAAAATGTTAAGGGGTTTCAAATCAAAATATGACTTCCTGTTATGAAATCATTTCATACATGTCCACTGTAGAGGATACCAGGACTAAAAGCATGTTTATTACACATTTTGGGAGACAAAACATTTGAATAGCAAAATAAATGATATATCAATATTCTTATGAAATATTAGATATTAGTATGAAAATCTGGCCAAATATGACTCCCATTATTACACTTCTTTTTTCACCATGCTGTCCCAACAGCAATATGCAAATTAGATACAGTGTATAGATAACATTGTGTGGGAAACCAGTTTATGGAAATTTTACACACATATAAGCAAAATGGCATATCAAAGCATTCTGTTATATCTTTTATAACAGTTGAGAATCATCTTTATACAAAGTTTGGTTTAAAAAAAAAAACCCTGAAACCTTAAAATTGATTGGTGATTTAAAAAAAAAAAATCCCATTGTTTTTGACTTTTTATGTCTATTCATGTCATTTTATTTTGGTGTCCTCTACAGAGGACATATGAACAAAATATATATTTTTATTATTATTATGCTCTAAACAATGTAATGACATGAAAAAAATTGTAAATTCACAAAGCTTTTTTTTTTTTTCCTGAGGATATGAAATTTTTCATACCGTTCAGATGCAGAATAAAATGTATAAACGTATGTCCTAGAATTGTCGCCCTCTGCTGATCGAGTTCACAGCGGCAGTTGGTTTCCTTAACAACGTGTAAACATATCCGGAAAATTAAAACTAAATTCGTAGAATAAAAAAAGGAAACGCAGCTCACAGGTAGGCTAATATTGTTTGCTTTCTCACCCCCACAGATTGTTATCTTAACACAGTCTCTTTGAAAGTTGAATAAATGCTGTTGTTTTTGTTTGTTTTTCATATTAAATATGATCATTTCCTGGCATAAGAAAATGAGCAAGACATTAGATACAACATCTCTGTCAGAGACCTTCATACAGTTCCAGTTAGTACGGTTCTTAACATTGTCCATCCATTCCTCACTGCTTTGCCTTTTCCTGTGAGTCTAATATCTTTATTTCTAATAGAATTCAGGTTAAAAGGGAAGAGATTCAAGCTTTTGAGGAAGAAATATGCCAACTAGAAGATAAGAAGAAAAAACTGATAAAGCTGGTAAGTGTCAACATTATGTTTGTGAAGATGATGACTGAAGAAGACTAAACTCAACCACGTGTCTGCAGCAGGAGCAGCTGAGAGAAGAGCATAGAGGCCATGTGCGTGAACTGCAGAAAAAGATGAAGGAGCAGGAGAGGAACCTGGAGCAAAGGCAGCGAGAAGATGAAGAGCAGGTGGAGGGCACGGCCCGGGAGAATCTGGAGCTAAAACACAAGCAAGAGAACGAGCTAGAAGGTACTCGAGTGGCAATAACAATGTTTTGAGGAAATAGTTTGCTCAAAAATGACTCTGTTGTCATTTTCTCACCCTCATGTTCTAACCGAATCTTTCAAGTTTGAAAAATGATGCAAAAATACCATAAATTAATATAAAACAATTCCATATGACCTATACGCTATATTCAGCATATTCTAAAGCCATATTTCAGGAGTGGATTCGTGTACTCCGACAACGATATTAAAGACCAAATTTTAAATATTAATATACCAAATATTAAAGACCACCTTATTAATAAAACATACTGTGTAGAAGCAAGAAGATACATTTTAAAATCACTGTTTAACTTAATACTGACAAGTCTGAGTGAATGGCAGTGCTAATTGCCTCATGAACATGCAGTCCTGTACAGAAGACCAGGATTTTATTTTTATGTTAAATATTACATTAAATTTCGCTTCTTGTATACACCCAGAAAACTCGGTGAACATTCAGTGATACTTTTGTGCTTTTTTTTTTTTTTTTTTTTTTAAAGAAGGAGGGAGTTCACTTTCCACTACCAGTATATGAAAGAGCACGAGTTGTTTTTTTATGGTCCGAAAAAGAAAGTGTATATGGCACTAGAACACCAGGGTGATTAAATGGCTTTTTACAATGTTCCCACTTTTCAAGCTTCAAAAAAGATGCAAGATACCATAAAAGAACATTACACAATTAAATATGACTTGTGAGCTATATTCCTAATGTCATCTAAAGCCATGCATGATAGCTTTGTGTTGGTGTGTTCATGAGAATCAGATCAAGAGTCAGATCTTCTAAAAAAAAAATGTATGGTTCAGTTCATAAAACCAATCTGAATGATTCATTCACGAGTTTTTAAGCCGCAGACTTTCCAGGGAATCAACCATACAAAGCTACAGCTACAGAAAAAAATGTAATATAGCCCAGAACATGTGCAATATGTACTAGTTTTATGGTTATGTATGATACATAAATCATAAAAGTACATTGCTGTATCTTAGTGAACACCTTTATAAATTGTTTGTGTGGTTTATACAGAACTGCGCTGTAAGCTTGCAAGGCTGCAGGTGCAAGTGAAGGAACTGCAGGAGGAACAGCAGGTATGGCTTCAGTATAAGAATGAAGGCAGCATTAAAGACCAGCAAAAGATTCAGAAACTGGAAAAAGATATTGCCTTAACACAAAGGACTTTTCAGGAGATATCAGGTGTGTTTTCTCAATCTTCTACTTCACTCGGAACACAAATATTCATTAGGTTTAAATATAAAATACTATACAGTTGTGGTCATAAGTTTACAGTAATCTTGCAGAAAGCTAATAATAATAATGTAAATTTTTTTTCTTTTTTTATTAATCACTACCCTAAATATGCTTTTTAACATAATGGATGTTTACATACAGCCCACAGGACAAATATATATATATATAAAACCAAAAGGATGACTTCATAAAAATTTCAGTTAATATTTTGTCTTATGGACTATAGGTAAACATCTGCTATGTGAAACAGCTTATTCAGGACAGTACTACTAAATAAAAATAAATGTTCTTTTTAAAACGAATAACATTTTAATATAAAAAAAATCAGATTATTTTCAGAGATCTCTGGTTGCGGCTATCAATGAAACTGAGCAAAAAGTAGCACAGAGTTTAAAGGATGGAATTCAGCTCGCCTTTGAGGTACTATGAACACCTTATTGTTGTCTGAATTGTGAATAATACGTCTGTTCTGAGGTACTGAAACCATCTTTATGTTTCAGAGAGCAAATGAAAACCTTGATAACATGAGTAAACTAGAGATCAAAGAAATGCATTGGCTGAAAAAACAGGTGTGGTCACATTTTAGGTTCTATTTTACATGCATCTTATTGTACATGCAAAGATTACACAATGCCGCTAATCGTCCATATCAGGTTCCCCTATATAACGAGAAGGTCGCAGTGTTGGAATCCACCGTCCATAAGTTAGAAGAGGAGATCTTGGATCTTGTTTCCCTCAGCCCAGGCAATGAGTTTCTTGCGCAATCTGCTAGCCTTGGGTCCCATGATACCCACAATATGGACAGGAACATAATGAAAATAAGCCCTGAGGAAACATCAGGTAATCCAAACATGCCTAATAATAGCAGTGATCAGTCTAAGAATAAACAGACTTTACTGAACACATGGTGCTTTATAATTATTTTGCATTGACATTTTATAACCAATAGATGGCACCATAACAGTAGACATACTGAAACACTAAAATACCAGGAGAAATCCCTCAATGATGGTTGCTTCCTAGTGCTGAACCCTTAAGTTCAAGAGTGAAGGAAATTCTAGGTCTGTTATTTCTTCCATTTGGATTGTAATCATTTTGAATTAGCAAAATATATGTTCACATTCAGTCTTATTTGTAAGCCTAATATGTTGAAAACGCAAAACATTTATCTCGTCACATTCTGTCAGAATTACATGACTCACACAAAACTCCCAATTACACAGATTCTCCCGAAAATGACTGGATTTTATCTGCAAAACAAAAAGCTAAAAGACCATAGGATTTTTTTTCTGAAAGCCCATAGGAAATACTCTAACCCACGGTTTCACAGACAGACAAGACTTAAGCCTAGTTCCAGACTAAAATGTAAGTCTGGGCAGTTTCAACTGAAAGAAACGTGCACTGATTGATCTTATAATACGTCAGTGCCGTTGTTTTGTCCTAAGATGCACACCAGTGATGTTTTTTTTAAGGCATGTTTATAAAAATTACTTAAATGTCCTAATTGAACTATGGCCTAATCCTGGCTTAGTCCAAGCCCTGTCTGTGAAACCAGGCCTAAATGATACAATGCTAATTTTCTGAGTTTTAAGACTACAAACTGACAAGCTCCGATTGATTACCACTCTTCTTTGCCAGCAAACAATGAACAAAGTAAGACTTTAATAATGATCCTAAGTACAAAACTTTCAGCTAATCATGAAACTATATATCACAAAACCAGTCTCAAGTCGCTGGGGTATATTTGTAGCAATAGCCAAAAATATATTGTATGGGTCAAAATTATAGATTTTTCTTTTATGCCAAAAATCATTAGGATATTAAGTAAAGATCATTGAAGATATTTTGTACATTTCCTACTGTAAATATATTAAAACTTAATTTATTGATTAGTAATATGCATTGCTAAGAACTTCATTTGGACAACTTTAAAGGCGATTTTCTCAATATTTTAATTTTTTATTGCACAGATTCCATATTTTCAAATAGCTGTATCTTCAATGGGAAAACTTATTTATTCAGCTTTCAGATGATGTATAAATCTCAATTTCGAAAAATTGAACCTTATGAATGGTTTTGTGGTCCAGGGTCTCACACACACACCACAGCCCAGTAGCAGGTTATACGGAGGATGGGCGACTTTGAATGCTGCCACTGGCACTGTTCAGCCCTCACTAATGGCTCTCAAAGTAGAGGTAGTCTTGTCATTATACATTACAGGGCAGCTGTGTTTTCATTACCGCTCAAAACTTCATGTCCTCAGCAGTTTAAACTTAATGGCCTCTGAGTGCAGCAGCTACACATACTACACTGACGTTGGCCATCAAATAGCTGACATTAATCACCCATAATGCTTATTCCTTTCCAGATCTGCTTGACAGACCCCGGTATCCCCTCCAGCCATTAACAGAAGTCGAAGGGGCTCAACAGAAAAGCAATGTGACCGCCTCTGGTAGCACAACAACTTCCACCCCACCTGACTATAGCGAAATGTTCAGCGGTCAGACTGATTTCACGGTAAGGACAATACTAGCTGTGTTCGCCCCACCTAGTCACATTACGGGTGAAGATGGCATCAATAAACAATCATTAATTTTTGATTAGCAACGAATTCATGACTAATGACACGCCACCTCAGAAGAGCCCTCTGTGCTTATGTTTGAGATATTATCAGGCAAAATACCCAGAAAGGATCTCTGCCAAAGGCAGCAAATCTTGAAAAGGCTCTCAGTGGCACATAAGCAAGATAAGGTCTGTGGAAAAAGAGCGTCTGTGATTTTCCCACTGCCTTTTCCAGGCATCATGGGCTAGAATATAGATGAAACAAGCAGGGATGGGGAACAGTCACTACCCTTGTTAGTGAAGCCAAACTAGAAGCCGTTTTAATGTGCTGTGTTTGTGTAAAGGGGCCGACGCATCTGGGCTCACTGGAGCAGAAGCTGCTGTGGGTGATAGGTAAAGCATACCCCCTGCACCCACAACCAAATGACCCAGCGGATATGGGCGAGGAGATGACCTTTGACCTGCTACAAACCGAAAGGTGGCCGGTTACAACAGAGATCATCCATAGAAAGTTTAAACAGTCAAGTTCACAGTCTGGAGAAGCTGATGAATCTGTAAACGACACCTGTGAAATTCAGCAGTTGGATACAAATGGCGAATAATATATACACTCAAAATAATAATAAATTATACTGAATGCATAATTCTGTAAATGACACCTGTGAAATTCAGCAGCTGTTGGATAATAATTAAAACAGGAACGGCAAACAATTTATGCACTCCAAAAAATATATAAAGCAATAAATAATTTATAAGTAATACTTTTGTATGTATGTGATATAAATATTATACACACAAACACAACACAAAAATAACAAACAAACACACACTTAGTTCTGTGGAAGCTGCACTTTATTTGAAAATCACCCAAATTCTGCTTCATTTTTTTTTGTCATATAAACAAAATATAATCTGCAGGGATGACGCAGTAAATATGCTAAATCAATGGATAGAATCGCCCTCATATTCGGACCACCTTTTGTGTACTTCCCTATTGGACTGGGCCTGTTTTATGTACACGGGCACTGATCAACAGCGTCCCCTTTCTTCACTCCACTGGACCTACAGCTAGACACTACCGACCCATCCCGATACCGACAGCAACCTGCGTTTCTCGCTCACATTCACACACTCGCACCCACAAACACACATACAACAGTTCTCCTCCCGGATGGCCCGAAAACGAAGGCGACTCTGCACATTCAGGTTGAAAAGGCAGCCATATAACTGTCAAATGTAAAATAATGACATGCCAAGCAGAAAGCAATACAGATCTTCCCCAAATGCAATGTCGCTGAATCACAAATGTAGTGCTTTGCTAAATGCTCCCTCACGAAAACCCACCCACCTCCCCGGGGCACAGAACTGACTATGTGGCATAATGATTTGTATATTTGATCCTATGTCCGTTACGAATGGAGGGCGGTGAGCGTTTGAGCTACAAAGAAATTGCACTAGACATACAACAGCTTCTGAGAATACTTAATGCTGTATCAGTCAGTTTATAGGTGTCCATTTCCCCCCTTTTTTATATTATATATTTTTTTCATAATTCAGTCACTCAAAATCCGGATTATGCAACCAATCATACCCATATGAACGCATAATTTGAAACACCTCCCGTAAGGAAGAGTTCAAAAGAAAAAAAAAAAAGAAAAGATGATTAATTTCTTTCATGTCCTCAGTGGGTAAATCATAAATAAATACAGATAATACACAAGGAATGTCTACTGCAAACGTAGAAACAGTAGAAATCATAGTAGAAACTGATGTTAGAATTTCTAATTGGTGATGGTTAAATCAGGTAATGCTTGATTGGTGATCGGATAAAGACAGAACTCCACCCAAATCCCTCCCTGATCCCTCTTTTCACATTCCATGGAAAAAAGTGAAGCCGTGTTTGAGTGAAAACCCACCACATTCCGGCACTCGCGTGCTCTCAACACCCATGTGTTTCGTTATAGACGGTACAATAACTTTTACCGCGACAAATTACAAAATGAGCGCTGTGTCCTCCATCTCTGGGCAACAGAGTCTTACCCCTCCCAACCCCACCCATCTTATCCAATAAAGCCCCTCCCACCGATTCCTGCACAAGTTTGTACTGGGACAGAACTCTCCGTGAAGAGTCGAACAGCCAACTGGAGAGAGATTAAAGGTTTGAGATTTGCCGTGTAATTCATTCTTGGGAAGCGTCGACCCTCCTTCACCTACATGAACTGCATCTGGAATCAGAGAAATGCACATTTACTGATACACTGTCATGCTTCATTTTAGAACATTTTTGTATACTTGCACCTTGTGATGAACGTACACATTATGACATTTTATACCAAGTCCAGGACAGCAAGTTTGAATGTCTTTTTGGATGATTGAGTGACCATCGTAATGTCACTAAATGAACTGAATATGCAAATGCTTCCAGTAAAGCAGCCAATAAATGATGAGATGAGTTTATGAAGCTGCAACTCAGGATAAGCTACTACGAAAATGATTAAAACTTCAACGTAAAGGGGTCATGTCACTTTTTCCCCAAAGTTTTATTTGTACGAAAACTAATGCTTAAAAATAATACGTGTACTATACAGACTTTTTTAAAACCACAGATGCTCACAGATAGGTCATTGATTCACAGTTGGAAAAGAAACAGAAGACAAAAGAACAACAAACTACTGGAGGCCACAACAACACTAGATGCTTGCGTTATGAGGTTAAGAGATACTCTAGTTTAAAAACGTGTAAAGACATTTTTAGCTCTCATAATTTAGAGGGAGTATTAGCGCAGACACTAGACAAGGATGAAACGTTTTAACGCATGTGTCAAAACTTACATTTACCCTTCAAGTGTGAAATGAGTCCTCAATGTCATGCAAGACCCCAAAGTGATCATACTGGCCGAGACGTTTTCCTTTGTATAATATCCTTTGGTTAGCAAGCTAAAAGCTTAGCCTACTAGCTTAGCATAGTAATAACTGTTACAAAAGCTTTTTTGATTATTGAGAAGCAGATATCAGCCTCTTTGCATCATATTCTGACAGATCCATGAAACAATCCATGCTGACATGTGGCACATGTCACATTTAATGATTTGACGAATAAAATGATCAGGGTCCTTGTTTAAAACGAATTCTGCAGAAGTATTCAGGGAGTGGCAGTGCGTCACAACTAGACACAGTTAAAACTTTCAAAACCTCTATCATTATGATGTATTCTGGTGGAATAACAGCATATATTCAGCTTTCTCCTCAATATTTCACTGTGACTGGATGGTCCAAGTTGTAGAATTTCGAAACTAATCATTTTAGCAGCTTAGCTTCGATAAATACAGTTTTTGGACTGGGAAGTTTAAAATATGGCATGAAATGAATATTTACCTCATGTACAACTGACTATTACAAGCTCACATTCAGTTCTGCTGCCATCCAATCAACCAGAGTCTAACCCTACATTTTTTTCAATAATCCACGACAACACTCGGATGCAAGTCATAATTCAGAAGAAAGATCTGTTGCTACTTCCATTACATCGTGAATTCAAAAGATTTGATTCCACATGATATGACCCCTTTAAATAATAAGGGAAACAGAACAAAATCATGCATGATTGGGTAATGAACTTCAAGAGATTGGCTCTACTGAAGCTGAATTGTTACAAATCGCATTATACTGATGTATATAGAAAACATTAGTATTGCAGCACATGGAGGAAAAACTGGGGTAAGATTTTTTGCAATAGAAACACAAACACTGTTATAAAGCAAGAAGCTCCTGTCGATCAATCACACACACACACACACACAGCAGACATGCTGTACCTAAAGACGCTCTAAAGGAAATCCTTCAGAGACAGCTGTGCAAAAGGGTCCTGTCCCGGAGCTCTGAGAGGACTCAAACTGGAAGGACTAGAGGCTGTAGAGAGCTAGTTCAGAAAGAACGAGAGAGATTGAAGGGGTCCGAGGACAGCTAGGAAACACTCAAGACACACACACACACACACACACGAGAGGACAATTCAGAGCCAGACAGGCTAGAGAATAACAGAGAGGTTCAAGAAAAAGAGAGCCACTAAAGTCCTTCTCATGCGGGATGGTACCAATTTCCTGCACTAACACTACTACTGCAGAAATGAAGCAGGGGTGGCAGGGGGCACGATATGTATTTCGAGCTGAGAATTTGGTGCGTTGTGGAATACATATCCATCCCCAGAGATGTGTGACGGCCACAATGCTAGCTTTCATATTCAGAATTGCGCTGCGATGGCACATGAAGGTGAACAAACTAGAGCGCATTCTGAATGGAGCCGCTTCTTGAATGGAGCCTCTCCTAGAATAGAGCGTGATCAGTCAGGGTTGAGCGGATGGCTCTATTACAAGAAGAATCATGGGGCGGGATCAATGCAAAAACATTTATCAAAAACCGGAGACCTATGGATGCTACTGTGCTCTGAAAAGGACTAATTTGATTGGATTAAGGTGTGGTCACATTAGCAAAATTTCGCCAACTAAAAAGACTCAGAACTCACACAGAGACTCTGTTGGTCAATGCAAAATTATTAAAAATGACTAGATTTCATCAGCAAACATTCGCTAAACATGTGACCAGACCTTAAGACTTCTAAATTGGATTGTTTGAGGGTCAATTGATTTGTAACCTCATTGTGTGTGAGATCATACCTGCGCCCCTGAGACTGGGCCGAAGGGATTGGCCGGCTGCATCACAGGCTGAGTGTACATCATGGTGGGCTGGGTCATCATGGTCATGGAGCCCATTTGAGGAGGCTAGAAAATAATAAAACCAAAGTTAAAGGAATAAAGAAACCAAGTGAGCAATGCATAATACTCGTCACGGCTGTTTGGGACATTGCGTTTCTATCTGGAATTTTAAATTCCAATGGCTTATGAAGTTCCTCTGTTGACATCATATTTTGTTTGACAGTACTGAAACTCAGCAAAGAGGAATGTGAGCCCGTCTGAACCCACTGTTCTCATCTGATCTGACTGGAGTTACTGTTTAACTTCACCTGAGCTACATGACTCGCAGCGGACAGGAAAAGTTACACACAGAAACTTACTCTTTTGTTTTTGGAGCAACTCATATTTTTCGAAAAGTTCTAACTCTTAAAAGAAAAAAAAAAAGCTTAGGTACATGCAAGGATTGGACTGGAGGATCCAAAATGGATGAGTCATAATAGCAGTTATGTAAATGCGGATGCTGTTATTGAAAAGCGTCATTTACAGAGCGCCATCCTCACTTTAAGCCATTAACCACAGCCTGCGCTGACTTTACCTGTATGGCTTACTCATCCTCGATTACTGGGTTCTATTGAGCAAACAGTAAATCTATAAAAGATGGCTAAAAGACTTAAGGAAAGACTCAACATTGATTATAGATAGAATGCTTATGTGCCACTCAGTTCAATAAAAAAAAAAAAAAAAATTTTTCTTTGTTTGTTTGTTTGATTAAAAATAAAATTACTACTAATATATAATTAATGGCAATATTATTATAAGGTGCTAAATCAGGATTTTTAAATATGTCCTGTAGTGGCCCAAATAGATCAAACCACACAGTGAGAGGAGAGAAAGAGGACAGAATGAGGAACATCTCAAAACACGACTGCGCAACTTATGGTGGTCTTATCTTACATGAAACGGGCGCACATTTAAAAATGCTTACAAATTCAAGTCAACTTCTGTTTTGTACTACTATATTTACATGGAAAAACAGATATATTTTAACAACAACAAAAAGTTTAATGACGTTTTATTTTTTTTCCCATTGGAATAACATGCATAATGAGACCAAGAATACGTAGTGGGACAGTGAATTTTCAATTTAGCATTAATTTCTTTAATTGTGTCGAAACCAATCATGGGTTTAAATTAGATCCAATGAAACCAAGACTCAAGCAAATTAATGCCTCAAGGTTTAATGAGAAACCTGAGGTGTGATTTGTGCCCTTAAAGAGCAAGTTCTAAAAATGCAGCATTGAGATCACGACACAAAAGATCATTATGGTCTCTTTTCTTATAAAAATACCACAGCAAACTTCTACAAGAACGAAAAGTGGTCGTATAACCATTTTCACATGCTAGTTTCACTCCGTCAGCTTAAGCATGGTCCAATGAATGACTCCCCAAAACACATTGACCTTCAGCAGTGAGATGGATGTGAAGCATCGTGTGTGGAGAAAAGCAGTGAGTTACAGCAACTGGGTTCACTTCTGTCTTACCAGCAGAGTCTGTGCTGTTGGCGGCCGACTTATTGCCGAATACGGAGTCAAAGTCGACATTAAGGCCTGTTGAACTGGGAGGCTGGCCGGCGGGAGGTGCAGAGAACCCTGTGTTAAAGAAAATAAGTCAGACCTAAAAAAAAAAAAAAAAAAAAACACCAGACTGGTTCACCTACACATGTTTGAGGAATGCCAGAGAACAGCAATTTCAAAACAGTGGTTAATATTTTCTTCCAGTTCACGTGTGATGCATAATTGCCATCATTAATTTAAATGGATCAATTCTGCTGTAGTCGACAGACTTCCAAAAATGTCAGCTGTTTGACTGGGTTAGCCCACGGCAACTGACTCATACTTCCCACATGGGTTTGTAGTTACAAAAGCAGCCATGCAAGTTCAACAAACAACCACATCTGCTGTATCATGCCGACTTATCCTGTCAGATAAACGTTTTATTTCATTCCACTTCTTCAATATACCAGTAAAGTTTAATCTAGTATCCTAGTAGGAGCCATCTGAGGTAAAGTAACTACAAATAAAAAATAGGGATTTATATTATTCTTATTTTCATGTTTATTATGCAAGTTAAAAACAATCAAACAAGTTGCATATGTAAATCTAGTATACATATGCTGACTGATTAAATTAGGCATATTAATATATCCTTGAAGGAGTATTGTTATTGCCAACTAAAACGATTTCAAATTATTTTTGTTAATTGAAATAAAGCTGAAATAAAATATAAATATGGCAAAACTATGACAAAAATATGACAAACTTAAACTTAGAAATAAAGCCTGGCAACTAACTAAACTTTAGTTGAAATAAAGTTCTAAAACTCATTAAAACTGAAATAAAATTATTATTTAAAAAAAAAAAAAAGACAAAAGCACATCAAAGTCCTAAAACGGTCAAATTCGAATGAAGACTGAAAATATAAATACAAAAAAAATATTGAATTAAAAATATTTAATATTTGGAATTTACATTAGCCTTTCATAATTAATTGTGCTAAAGTAAATTATTAAATTGACAACACTATTTTAAAAGAAAATTAACAATGAAAGCTGAAAACGCAGGTTTCAAACCTAAAGGGGTCATATGATGCGATTTCAATTTTTCCTTTCTCTTTGGAGTGTTACAAGCTCTTGGTGCATAAAGAAGATCGCCAAGACTGAAGTCTCAAATTTAAAGAGATATTCTTTATAAAAGTTAAGAGTCAACCACACCTACCTAAAACGGCTCGTTCTAACACACCCCCACATGTCTACGTCACGATGTGGGAATATTTGCATAACGCCGCCCAAATGTTCACACAAAGAAAGAAGGCGTAACTTTTATTCTCGCTGTAGTATTGTTGCCGCCGCCGCCATGTCATGAAGGCACTGTGTGTTTCATTGTGGAAGGGAAACTACTTTGTTTGGCCTTCCAAAAGAGGACGATATCCACTTCGTCATGCCTGGAGCTGATCCGTGCGGGTCGCTAATGAAATACATCAACTTTGCACTGTGGATCGCCAGATCGGCTTTCACCGTAGACAAAGCAGAGTCCAGCCCGGGGTCGTCACATGTGGTTGCTGCAAGCCCATCCGCCGCCGCTCACTCTAGGCCGCCATGTATGACACGGTGTTTCATTGTGAAAGCGAAACTACTTTGTTTGGCCTTCCAAAAGAGGACACGACTAGAAATCAGTGGTTAAGTTGTATTTACAACACTGTTCCAGAACAGTTCAACCCAAATATTCAGATGTGTGCAGCACATTTTATGGAGGATGTTTCCTGATCCTGGTAGAGTAGACTACAATGCCGGCTGTTCTGACTCACAGACTGTAAGTAAGTTTTTTATATTTAAAGAATTTGCTGATTGAAACTGAAACTGACTATTCAAACGTGAGTTTTGAGCAGTGTAGAGTAGCATTTGTAGTTTGTAATTTCTCCGATCACAAATGCAGACATGGTTTTATGTTTACGTGGCGTGATGCAAAGCAACGCGTAAAGAGACAGTATAAGTCATTATAATCCGTAATTATGTCCCCACTGGATGCAACAAATGCCTCGTTTATAATGGGTTTTAATGTTTTTGTCTCGTCGCTCCGGCCGGGACAAGGCATCACAATATGGCAAGGGGCGTAACATTTCCGTCACACGCTTGTGGTATTCGGCCAATCACAATGCACTGGATAGCTGGCCAATCAGAGCACACCTCGCTTTTCAGAACGATGAGCTTCGTAAAAATCGACGCGTTTCAGAAAGGCGGGGCATAGAGGAGAAACAATAATGTACAGTATGTGGAAAATAATGTGCTTTAACCTTAAACCGCATAAACATTTAATTACACCAAATACACAAAATAATGTTCTTTTTAGCAACATCATATGACCCCTTTAAACTGTGAGCCAAATGTCTGAATTGACTTAATTGATAAACCTGTTCCTACCAGCCCAACAAAAGCGCACCTGCGAAAGGAAAGAAAGGGGAAGACAGCAAAAGGACACACAAAGAAAGAGAGACAAGCTGGAGGGACGGCACCTACCTCCGAATAGTCCAGCTACAGCAGAGGGCTCAGAGTGGAAGAGAGGAGTGTTAGGGTAGGCAGCCAGAGAGCAGAACGAGTCTGACAGGCCAAGAAACAAAAGCAAAAGGAAACCAGAAAATTAGTGAAGAGAGACAAAATTAATACAAATAATAGCAGGGGGGAAAAGATACAAAAGACTGCATATTCTATGTTCAAGTAAGTCAAGACGGTGGAATTAAAACGAATAAAGGTACTAAGAGTAATTTGGGGTGAAAAGCACGGGGTAACGCCATTATGTTTTCTGAGGTCAGAAAACATACATCGCACTGGGACGTCTGTACCTGAGAGGAAGCAGCCCATCCGAGCAGAGGGCTCGACGGGTGATGCAACAGAACCGCTCGAATCAATAAAGGGATTGTAATTATCTGGAGAACCAAGAAACGAAATTGACATTTGGGAAAAACTTTAAAACTTAACACTCTAAGGATGGGAAAACTAAAAAAAAAAAATGGTAAACGCAAAATCCAAGAAAAACAGCAAAGCACAACCAAGCAAATGTTTGAGTAAGGTGGTCCAGAGACCATCGTACAGACCTTCAGAAAACCACCAAGAAGCAATTAACTGAGGCTTAGTGTGAGTAAAAAGGACCACCAAACTCAAATAGGCTACATGTATTTTTAAGCAGTTAATTTGTACTTGATAACAGCCATTCTCACTCTTGATCACACTCATGTATTGATATTAGAAAAGCATTACTCCATCATAAAAGCCAACTCACCATAATACAGCTGTACAAACACAAACACTCTTTACAGTAGCAACAAACCATCTGTCCATCACTCTCTCAAATATGTTATTGTTCGCTCTGAGAACATAATAAATACAGTCCCTAGTGTAGAACAAACTCACAGAAGCTAGACTTCCTTTATTGCATTAACACAAACACATACAGTGTTTCAAAACCTAGGTCGTGTTCAGAATAGCATACTTTTTACATTTATACTGCACAGTATGACAATTTTGAGGATCACTGTACCCCACAATGCAGTGTGCGCAACCTGACCTTGTGTTTCCAATGTGACAAAAGAATAGGAAGTAACAATTTTTGATGAAACTTCCACAATTATTTTTTTCTAGACTCATGACGTTTTAGTTATTTAAATTACAGATAGCTTTTCATTTTTCCCCCCAATAATCAAGAAGCAGTTCAGATTAAAAAATGCATGCAATTTGTCTTAAAGCATGTAATAAAATCTCTTTAGTTTAGGGACCAATTCTAACTATTAACTAGTTGTTATTAGCATGCATATTACTAGCATATTGGCTGTTTATTAGTACTTATAAAGTACATATTAATGCCTTAAATTTTGAAGTACGGTAACATTGTAATACTACTAAGAATTACTAATAATTCTGTATAAAATATGTCATGCTGTATAACAAACGCAAATGCTATTTAATTAATTGATATATAAGTATTAATAATTTAATTTATTTATTTTTTAACATGGGTGTTATTCAGGCTATAACTGTGCATTATGCAGTAGGCTAGTATTCTATTTTGAGTTTTTTTAGGCATCACCAGTGCATTTAAGCTTTTGAGCTAGACATTGTCAAAAATACTGTCTAGGTAGGCAGCTTACTAGGTTTTGAGTACACAGCCGGTATTAACTTGAGACACACGTATCAGATACTTTAAGGGTTACTCGGGTCTCGCCTGTTCTGCCCAGCGGGTCTTTGTACACTTGATGCGTTGGAGCATTCAGGACAAAAATGAGAGTGGAGGGAAAACAGACCGGCACGCAGCAGGTGAAAGAAAGCAAACAGCACACTACATGAGAGAAAAGAACAGCAGTTTACCACCGAACATTTCATGACTGGGTGTCCTAGAGGAAAAACTAACAGCATCTGAAGACACAACAGGCAGATGGACAGGATCTGGTTTTGTAAGGAAAGGATTTAAGTTTGGAATGGAGTCATCAACAGCCTCTGTAGACGAGAAAGGATCTACACGTCCAAAGACAAGACAGAAACAGAAAATAACAGGAAAAGGTTAGAGAGAGACAGAGAAAGCATGCAAACACAGACTAACAGACAAATGAGGTGGAGTCTGTTTGGTCTGGACGCTTTCAGATGTAAATAAACTACCATTGCACTAGACTGAATGAGACGTCTGACATGGAATGGAATGCATATGTAACAAATCATGCATCTAAGCTAAATGGATACGAATGATTCTTTGAATCATGACAAATATTAGAACTCATAAAAATGTATTTGACTGGCTATGCCTACATTTCAGTAGAACTTCATTCTGATATAAAGCTTTAAAGTTCTCAAATAAATCTAAAATATATAAATATTTCATTTAATATTTATTTTATAAATATTAAATATTGATATACACAATATTAAATATTACTATTATTAGTATGTTTTATTAGTAAGCTTTAAAGTTGTACAAAATAAGATAATGTCATTGCTATTAATAATTATTTTTATAGTACAACTTTGAAAAAAATTACTAGCTGTGCCAAAGTTTCTGTAACCTTTAACCTGATTTGAAGACAAAAAAGGTACACATGCAATATTATTAAATATTATTAAAGATGCAATTCAGATTTTATCTACTGAAATAGTTATTTAAAAAAAAGAAAAAAAAAGAAAAAGAGATTTAATTTGACGTCATACTTTCTTAAAATAAATTTGACCAAAATCCAATATGAAGTTTAAAAACATGCCTCTCCTCTTCATTTTCACTATGAACATGTTAAATTAATTTTAAAGGAGTAGTTCACCCTAAAATCAATTCTGTCATCATTTACTCACACGTGTCGTTCCAAGACTTGGAATATATTCCACAAGTCGAAATGATCACTTTTACGAGGCTTTTTTGGATCGGTTTGCATTATGACAGCCCCAGTTTTAATTTCCTTCAATTATATGAAGAAGTGTGGCAAAGGGAAAACTAAAAAAAAAAAATGGTAAACGCAAAATCCAAGAAAAACAGCAAAGCACAACCAAGCAAATGTTTGAGTAAGGTGGTCCAGAGACCATCGTACAGACCTTCAGAAAACCACCAAGAAGCAATTAACTGAGGCTTAGTGTGAGTAAAAAGGACCACCAAACTCAAATAGGCTACATGTATTTTTAAGCAGTTAATTTGTACTTGATAACAGCCATTCTCACTCTTGATCACACTCATGTATTGATATTAGAAAAGCATTACTCCATCATAAAAGCCAACTCACCATAATACAGCTGTACAAACACAAACACTCTTTACAGTAGCAACAAACCATCTGTCCATCACTCTCTCAAATATGTTATTGTTCGCTCTGAGAACATAATAAATACAGTCCCTAGTGTAGAACAAACTCACAGAAGCTAGACTTCCTTTATTGCATTAACACAAACACATACAGTGTTTCAAAACCTAGGTCGTGTTCAGAATAGCATACTTTTTACATTTATACTGCACAGTATGACAATTTTGAGGATCACTGTACCCCACAATGCAGTGTGCGCAACCTGACCTTGTGTTTCCAATGTGACAAAAGAATAGGAAGTAACAATTTTTGATGAAACTTCCACAATTATTTTTTTCTAGACTCATGACGTTTTAGTTATTTAAATTACAGATAGCTTTTCATTTTTCCCCCCAATAATCAAGAAGCAGTTCAGATTAAAAAATGCATGCAATTTGTCTTAAAGCATGTAATAAAATCTCTTTAGTTTAGGGACCAATTCTAACTATTAACTAGTTGTTATTAGCATGCATATTACTAGCATATTGGCTGTTTATTAGTACTTATAAAGTACATATTAATGCCTTAAATTTTGAAGTACGGTAACATTGTAATACTACTAAGAATTACTAATAATTCTGTATAAAATATGTCATGCTGTATAACAAACGCAAATGCTATTTAATTAATTGATATATAAGTATTAATAATTTAATTTATTTATTTTTTAACATGGGTGTTATTCAGGCTATAACTGTGCATTATGCAGTAGGCTAGTATTCTATTTTGAGTTTTTTTAGGCATCACCAGTGCATTTAAGCTTTTGAGTTAGACATTGTCAAAAATACTGTCTAGGTAGGCAGCTTACTAGGTTTTGAGTACACAGCCGGTATTAACTTGAGACACACGTATCAGATACTTTAAGGGTTACTCGGGTCTCGCCTGTTCTGCCCAGCGGGTCTTTGTACACTTGATGCGTTGGAGCATTCAGGACAAAAATGAGAGTGGAGGGAAAACAGACCGGCACGCAGCAGGTGAAAGAAAGCAAACAGCACACTACATGAGAGAAAAGAACAGCAGTTTACCACCGAACATTTCATGACTGGGTGTCCTAGAGGAAAAACTAACAGCATCTGAAGACACAACAGGCAGATGGACAGGATCTGGTTTTGTAAGGAAAGGATTTAAGTTTGGAATGGAGTCGTCAACAGCCTCTGTAGACGTGAAAGGATCTACACGTCCAAAGACAAGACAGAAACAGAAAATAACAGGAAAAGGTTAGAGAGAGACACAGAGAAAGCATGCAAACACAGACTAACAGACAAATGAGGTGGAGTCTGTTTGGTCTGGACGCTTTCAGATGTAAATAAACTACCATTGCACTAGACTGAATGAGACGTCTGACATGGAATGGAATGCATATGTAACAAATCATGCATCTAAGCTAAATGGATACGAATGATTCTTTGAATCATGACAAATATTAGAACTCATAAAAATGTATTTGACTGGCTATGCCTACATTTCAGTAGAACTTCATTCTGATATAAAGCTTTAAAGTTCTCAAATAAATCTAAAATATATAAATATTTCATTTAATATTTATTTTATAAATATTAAATATTGATATACACAATATTAAATATTACTATTATTAGTATGTTTTATTAGTAAGCTTTAAAGTTGTACAAAATAAGATAATGTCATTGCTATTAATAATTATTTTTATAGTACAACTTTGAAAAAAATTACTAGCTGTGCCAAAGTTTCTGTAACCTTTAACCTGATTTGAAGACAAAAAAGGTACACATGCAATATTATTAAATATTATTAAAGATGCAATTCAGATTTTATCTACTGAAATAGTTATTTAAAAAAAAGAAAAAAAAAGAAAAAGAGATTTAATTTGACGTCATACTTTCTTAAAATAAATTTGACCAAAATCCAATATGAAGTTTAAAAACATGCCTCTCCTCTTCATTTTCACTATGAACATGTTAAATTAATTTTAAAGGAGTAGTTCACCCTAAAATCAATTCTGTCATCATTTACTCACACGTGTCGTTCCAAGACTTGGAATATATTCCACAAGTCGAAATGATCACTTTTACGAGGCTTTTTTGGATCGGTTTGCATTATGACAGCCCCAGTTTTAATTTCCTTCAATTATATGAAGAAGTGTGGCAAATTTTGTGTTCCAGAGAAGAATGAAACTCATGCGAGCTTGGAACGACATAAGAATGAATAAATGAATACAGAATTATCATGTTTAGGCAAGTTATTCCTTTAAAAGTGGTAGGACAGCAGAGGTGTTGGACAGTGTAGAAGCATACTTAAAACTCCAAAGAGCTTCAAGGTAATACATCTGTGAAGGTTGCTGAGTGTGTTTTACGCTGTATAATTCAATAAACACAGAAAGCTGCAGGCTTTTTATGGTTCTGCCTGACTAATATCGGAAATCAATATGATATCAGTTCTGCCACGTTAAATATCATGTTACACACCCTATCAGCACTTTCAGATAAAAATCAGACTCTCATTTATCAGACTTTACAGATTAGACAAATAAAATGCATGCAATAAGACCATGGATAGCATTTTGGATAAAACTCCAGAGGGAACTTTCATTGCTTCAGTTTTGATTACAGAGGAGAAGATAGTACTGATGTAAGCTTGATTTCAATCAGATGCATATTAATGCAGATCTGTGAGTTCATGTGGTGTGGACAGCTCACCTCCCCATGTGTTGGCTAAAGGCAGGCCGGTGGAGAGAGGCAGGGAGGGCTGGAACGCGGGCTGCAGGCCTAACTGCAAGTATAATAGTAATAATGATGCTCGTCTTAGCATCATTAATAACGCATGTCCCAGTTACTCCTTGGGTGACATCATCATTAAAATCACATACGCCTATAACGTAATCGCGGAGTTTAACTTGTCGTCATTGTGTAGTCCTGCATAGAGGCCTAATAAAACACTAAAAGCTGAAGATGGATGCCAAACGACTGCACATGTGCACTCATGCACCAACTGGGAAAATAATCCCTACCAGATTGGTTATAATGTGCAACACAGTAAAAACGCATTTAAAAAAATCATGGCGCAACATTGAGCAGATCTAAATTTAATGCTGTGGTCAACACTTTTCATTTAATTTAAATTTTATTCGCGACAGCCGTAATGGACTTAGTTTAACGTTAACTGTACCGCAGCATTTGTGTTGCCATAGTTTCTACAAGCGGAAACTGAGGATATGCGGATATTACATCATTGATCGGTGACAATAACCAGGGACGAGTCATTATTTAAAATTGGAATTTCTCTGGATTTAAAAAAAATTCTTGGGAACTTTTGGTATAACAAATGCACAACTGCATGAAATATATCACACCGTGCAAATAGTTTTTGGATATTTTATAACGAAAATCTTACATATTGTGCCTTCAATAAATACCCATGTATAAGTCTTGTATGACCTAAAAGACCATTTTGATCTGTACTGAAAAAAACAAACAAAAAAACAATTTATATATAGATATAGATAGATAGATAGATAGATAGATAACACATTTTAATATTTTTTTAATGACAAAGTTTTTCTATAATATATGTGGCATTTTTAAATTAAATTCCGGAAGTATAAAAAAAGAATATCAATTATTTTATATAAAAAGTACACTAAAACAGTAACATTGAGAAATAATATAACTCAAGATAACAGTTTTCTATTTGAATATATTTTAAAATGTAATTTATTATTGTGATGGCAAAGCTGAATTTTCAGAAGCCATTACTCCAGTCTTCAGTGTCATATGATCCTTCAGAAGTAATTCAGATATGCTGATTTGGTGCTCAAGAAACATTTCCTATTATTATCAATGCTTAACAAAAATAGTGCTGCTAATAGTAGTGCTACATTTTGGTTTAAGGATTCTTTGAGGAGCAGAAAATTTTAAATAGCATCATTTAGTTGAAATTGAAATCTTTTGTACCATTATAAACGTCTTTACTGTCACTTTTGATCGATTTAATGTGTCTTTGATGAATAAAAATAGGAATTTCTTTCAAAAACCGACCCCAAGCTTTTGAACAATACATATATAAAACTATTACCTGTTATTGAAGCTACTGGGTGTGGAGAACAGGTCAATGGCTGGGGCGGAACTGATGGTGCCCGTTGCTGTTGATACGGGAGACGCAGCAGTCGTGGAGGGCTTCTTGGACAGTTCCTTCAGGCGCTGCTCCTGATGGAAGAATCAAACCGTGTAACCTTGCTAATTGGGTATGCTCCAATAGGGAAAAACTCCTTTCCACTTTTTCATAGATGGTGTTGCATACCTTAAGTGCTTTTAATCGAGCCTGCTCCTCCTCCAGAGCTGCCTGCTTTTCCCTCTCAACAACTGTGGTGAAAGAGATACCCGTGTTGGCCAGGGAGGACACCGCATTGGACAGCGCACTGGCTCTGTGTGGAAAGACAGGGGGATATGGAGATAGAATGGTTGCATAATTCCAAATAAATAGCTTATGATCCACAAATAAATGTAAAGAGATAGATTTAGAGTTTCACAAACATGACTTTAATTCACAAATAAATAAAATAATATCTGCAAATAAATTTTTTTTTTAAATGTGTGCGTATATGTATATATACAGTATATAAAAAAAAAATTTTTTCCCCACAAACACAACTTTGCCTGGCATTCATTTGTAAATCGCGTCCTGTACATTTGTGGATCGCTGTGCACATTTGTCGATTTGAACGATTAGTCAATGAAGTGTGGCTGTTATCTGAGTGGCCCGAGTAGACGGTGGGTGGAGTCCATGCATTTATGGATTGTCAGCGTTTTGACGCTAGATGTGTTTCAAAATCCACAAATGCATGCAGCGATCCACAAATGCATAGAAAGAAATGCATTCACAAATGTACAGGGAGCGATTCACTAATGCGTGCAGCGATCTACAAATGTACAGGACGCGATTCACAAATGAATGCCAGGCAAAGTTGTGTTTGTGACAAAGATATTTGTGAATACGTTCTTTATTTGCAAATCTCAATTTTATTTATTTGTGAATTTAATTCATGTTTGTGAAACTCTAAGATTTATTTGTGGATCTCATTCTATTCATTTGTCAATGTTTAATTTTTGTTAATCTCCTTACATTTATTTGTGGGTCATAATCTCCTTATTGGGAATTATGCAACAATTCTATCTCCATAGGCAGAGGACCTGATCCATTCGGACCATGCGATGTCACAGTGCGTTATTACCGCCATGTTTGTGTCCGAGTCACAGCTGCGCAACCGGTTTCAGTCATTGGTCACAGCAGCCACAACTACCAGAGGAAGATCAACGAAATACTCCCGGAAGGTTCCCAACAAGGTTACAATATGGTCGGGATATGTTGTGCTGTTAGCTGTATAACAGCCGTCAGAGAAATTCCAAACTACAATTTTATTTGACCCCAAAGGAGTTAGATTGGCGGAATAAATGGTTGGCTTCAATCAGAAGGGACCACTGACAGCTAGGGTTGCCAACTTCAGAAAAGGAAAATATGGGACAGTTGTGATTCTTTATAGGAGAATAAGGGACAGAATAAAGGACACTAAAATATTACCTGGTAAATATTACCACATACTGTATGTCATGTCTACAGTTATTTATACATAAAAGGTGTATAAAAGGTTCTCAAAAATAATCCCATTTGTTTTGCTTAACCTATTTATGTGCAATTATTCTAAAAAGAATTTTAAAGTCATACAAAAAAAAAAAAAGTCACACGACCTGAGTAAATTGTACCATTGTGAATTGTTACTGGCTGTACAAGTGGTGTAGTAATTTAGGAGGTGGATATACTGTGAAATTACTTGGCCTACATACATATATATGGCATAAAATTTGAAAGCATAACAACTGAAAGTCTGAAACGTCAGTCAGTAAAGCATTTTTAAAACAATTTGAACTAAAACATTATTGCAGCCATATAGCCTATGAATGAATGAAAATGCATGTTTTAATTAAAGAGAACTTAAGAGTGTGGGCTGATTTTGCTGCTTGAATAATGAGATCCAAGTTTAAGATACTCCGGAAGTAAAAAACGTCTTCCCTAAAGTAGACTGCATGTTTTCTTGTCTTGCTGGATGTTTGGCTCATGATCAATAATCATGTTGTTTGCATTCGCCCAAACTAATCTGCCGAAAACAAAACGCACACAACGCAGAGGATTCTTCAAGCCTTCCTCGAGTGGCTACATTCGCAAATAAAACAATGCTTTGTCCAAAAAGAACGATTAATTATCAATTGTGCTAATGTTAGCAAATTAACATTAAATATAGATTGTGCAGTAAGCTAGCTAACGTTATCTTGTTACACTATCATTGACTCAAAGTGCTTTGAGTTGATGTCAGTTTTAAATGTACAAGTAATCAGCACCTTACATTATTATGACCTAACTGTTACACTTGCTGCACCCATGTTAGTGTCCTAAAAATACAATTAAGTCCAAAGCTCAGTGTGGGAAATGGTAGTAAAAGATCATTTATTATCTTAATATATTATTATTTATTAAATCTCATTTAGATGTGCTGTGTTCGTTGTCATATTGGACACAAAAATGGCGGTGAGCATAGCGGAAGTGACGTCTTCGGTACCCATGAATACAGTAAACACGCCACTGTTGAAATCGCTAGGGTTGCATTAGTGGACATCAATGCTACTAGCATGAGCACAGAGCACATTTTACTGCTTCCGCTACAGGAACCCAGTTTGAACCTGGACTGTCTAAACTGCAAATTATCAAAATCATGTACATTCCTCCTACACTTAGTTTAAACACAGTTCACTGATTATTTTAGAAATATTTGTCACATCAAAATAATAAAATTAAATGACATCACTCATAACCCCTAAAACCACCTGTCCTCAGATCAAAATGTAATACTTCAAGCAGATTAAAATATTAAATCTAAGAAAAACTGAATGACATTACTTTAAAGAAACATGACAGGCCACAAAAAAAAGAAGCATGAAAATGTACACACTGAAATACACACACATTAATCCAAAATAATTTTTGCATACAAACAGCTGTAATGTAACTTTTTTTTTTGTCCCATTGAAAGAATAACTGAGTAATGATTTGATATGAGAATATCAATATCTTGTGAATTTAGTTAAATGTTGGTTTCTAGATGGCAACAGAAATGCTGTTTTCATCATAAAAATCATAGAACATAGCTCAAAATCCCCTTCACTTGGAAAAACTGCACAGAACTTATAGCCGGACAAAAAACTCCCTGAAACGCCTCTCTCCCACACATGCTCAGCACATCCAAAAGTCACACACACTCGCTGAATGCAGAGCATGAGGAAAGCAGCCCCTTCACATACTAGAATGTTCAAAATTAACTGCTTGAAAATCACTGTACCTGCTGGCGGCCGTGGAGTCTTTGACTTTTTTCCCCTCTAATGAAGCCAAATGCTGCTCAAGGGCATCCAGAAGGCTACTGTACTGAAAAAAACAAACAAAAAAACAATTTATATATAGATATAGATAGATAGATAGATAGATAGATAACACATTTTAATATTTTTTTAATGACAAAGTTTTTCTATAATATATGTGGCATTTTTAAATTAAATTCCGGAAGTATAAAAAAAGAATATCAATTATTTTATATAAAAAGTACACTAAAACAGTAACATTGAGAAATAATATAACTCAAGATAACAGTTTTCTATTTGAATATATTTTAAAATGTAATTTATTATTGTGATGGCAAAGCTGAATTTTCAGAAGCCATTACTCCAGTCTTCAGTGTCATATGATCCTTCAGAAGTAATTCAGATATGCTGATTTGGTGCTCAAGAAACATTTCCTATTATTATCAATGCTTAACAAAAATAGTGCTGCTAATAGTAGTGCTACATTTTGGTTTAAGGATTCTTTGAGGAGCAGAAAATTTTAAATAGCATAATTTAGTTGAAATTGAAATCTTTTGTACCATTATAAACGTCTTTACTGTCACTTTTGATCGATTTAATGTGTCTTTGATGAATAAAAATAGGAATTTCTTTCAAAAACCGACCCCAAGCTTTTGAACAATACATATATAAAACTATTACCTGTTATTGAAGCTACTGGGTGTGGAGAACAGGTCAATGGCTGGGGCGGAACTGATGGTGCCCGTTGCTGTTGATACGGGAGACGCAGCAGTCGTGGAGGGCTTCTTGGACAGTTCCTTCAGACGATGCTCCTGACGGAAGAACGAAAATCACGTAACCTTGTTAATTACATTGCTATTTGGCTATGATCCAATTTAAGGAGCTCTTTAACTAAAAAAAAAATAATAATAAAAAAAGAAGGTTGTGACAAGTGTTGGGCAAGTTACTCTGAAAATGTAATCAAATTACTGATTACTCCTTTTAAAAGTAATCACATTACTGTTCTGATTACTTTATTTCAAAAGTAGTTAGAAATTAGTTACGTTACTTTTTTCTCCATTAAATTGATGAAATCCCAGCATACACGCTCCCGATAAATATTTGTTATTAAAGCATCAACATTCACAGAACACTGTTATTTTTAACTAAAGCAAGCGGCTGCTGCGTGCATGGTTTGGCATGGCAGAATGCCAACAAAGAGCGCTGCATTTATAATCTCTAAAAGACATCTCAGGTCATCGCAATCTCACAAATCTCTGTTATAACACAATAAATATATGCATAATGAATTGTTCATAATGTCTACAATTCATGTGTTATAATGAGGATTCGTGAACACGCAAATTTCAGCACTGCGTTGCTCAACGCTGCAAACACGTGTTAAGTGTCTATTTAGGCTAAATGTTTAGCCTAAATAGAAACTCTGCATACGCTTGCACTTGTTAATCGTTTATATTAGTTCAATAGATGAAGAACAATTTATTTGAATCATTTTATTCTCCCGCATCCTGCACACAGACAGGTGTCTACCCGCCCGCACCAACACTCGTCCATTTTGTCCCGCACTGCTGTGGTGTCGGGTCTCGCGGGAGCAGGTCTATAATCCACTGGCACTTGACTCGACAGTGCGTGTGCTACATCCTTTTTACAATCTCTAGATTATAAAACACTGCATTCTGTCAGCAATGTAACGCGGCAGTAACGTATAGAGACTTCGACTTGTAACTATACTCTAATTACTATTTTGAAAATTATAACGCGTTAAATTACTCCGTTACTAAAAAAGTAATCAAATTACAGTA